ATTGCTGACAAAGAAACCCGCAGGATCATGGAACTTTTGATATGCAAGCTAATTAAGGTAATAGCACCAATGCCTGAGCTTGTTGAAAGTCCATTGTGTATGAACTAAACAAGTTGAGAATTATAAGTTGTGTTTGGAAACATCTCAATTCATATTTGTGTTGTAGGGTGACATTCGGGCACTGGAGGATCTTACTTATGAGAAGCGAAAGGAGTTCATCATGAAGCACAAGCTGCCACATGAGCAAATTCCTCTGGTTTCCTTCCTCTCTGAGGCAAGCATAGCCCCTGATGTGCTTGCCACAATGACACATATAGCACATGCCGAACTTCCCTGGCTTCCCCTACCAAATTTTGGAACTCTAGAAGAGTCGGATGAAATCGTTCAAGCAGGACGCCAGCTGCCTGTAGTGATTCCTTTATCTGCTGCAATGGCTGTGACTGCACTTCATCTACAGCTCAGGTATGGGGAGAAGAGTGACGGATTGGTGATGTGCCGTGATGCTCAAGTTCCAGGTTCGGTTGTGGTCACACCGGACAGGAAGCTTGACCATGCCTGGATGGTTTATTCCACAAGGAAAAAGAATCCTAGTGATGCTGATGCCTCAGAAATGTGTGAGGCCATTTTAACTCTGCTTGTAGAGCTTGGAAAGTTAAAAGTAAGTGGGAAAAAGCTAGGAAATTAATCCATCCATCATACAATTTGTTTGCTTCCCATTTGTTTAATTTGGTTTGTTAAACAAAATATTCAGAAGCAATCAATTGCAGAATCTCATTCGAATGGAAGAATGAATTCATAAGGCCCAAAACAATCTGGCAGGTCCAATTAACAAAAAAAAAAAATCTGCGAAGTCCATGAACATGAACAAGACAATAAATTCTAAGAGTCCCTACCCGGAATATATACAAATTTCTCTAACTAAAGACCCTTAAATCTTCTTAATTGAAGTAGCAACCAACTAGCCAACTACCCATAAATTCACAATAAAATTTGAACTCTAATTTCTCTCTCATATTATAAGAAGAAAAATTATGAGTAAAGAAGCAAAGAACCATACCCAAACAACTAGTTTTTCTGCATTTTTTACGAACAATGCATGCATGAAGGTGCAACATTAAAAGTCCATGATATGTTGCCATGCCATAAGGCAGAAAAAACCTCGTTAGTAGCAATATATCCTTGCCCTGAAATAATAAAAATGCAGAGCAGGGCCAAATGCCAATTCTGAAACTAAGAGAATCCAATAACTTTTCTTCTTCTTTTTTTAAGCATGGGTGACGCATGGTTTGCATGTGAGTGAGACAGAAGAAGAATACAGCAACGGCATTTATATTTTTGATGGTCAAATTCAAGAAATCATCTGTTGGCTCCACATAAATTTAATGGCTCAAATGTTGGGTCCTGCTCTGCGCATTGCACAACTACTTCTCAAACGTGCACTTCAATCCACATCCATGTTATTAAAACTGCTCAACCTAATATCAGATGACCTCTGTTTTCTTTTCTTTTATTTTTTCTGGGCTCTTCAAATGGCTTGCCACTCAATCATTTCAGAGCAATGTTTGTTATTTTCCCCTCTTGCTTTTTGCATCTAGTTTGCATCATGTTTATTTCACTCATACGTCATGGATTTATGTATGTGTCAGTAAAATATACGTGGCCCAAATTAAAAGAAAAAGATAATGAGAAAGAACAAGAAAGGAGGTAGCTAGCATTCCTCCTTGTTCACACATAGCTGTAAGTTTCGTTTTCTGGCAATACATGAATGGAGTTAATAGAGACTAGAGTGGATAAAAACTTCTTTCTCTTTTGTATTAAGTGATGGATAACTTTCTGGCATGCAGGTAGGCTGCTTCCAAGGAAATGGCAGCTATTCAAAACATCACACTTTACAGCAAACTTAAGCCATTGAGCCATTAATGAGGACATTAATTTTTTTCCCCTAACGCCTAAAAACCAAGAGCAAAATTTTCACTTTCTGCGCTAGAAAATTGACAGCCAAAACACAATTCAGAACCCAACAAAGGGCTGAATACAAAAGTGGCCCTAAACAGGGTCAAAGAGATATTCTTCATCAAAAGGCCAAATGCTTGGTAAAAATCAATACCAAAGTGCAAGAAAAGCAAATATATTGTCCCCTATTTAAACCTAGCTGTACGGATGGCTGAACATATAACATACATAGCATCATTCTCCATTGTTTTTGGCTAAGGAAAATATAGCTGGCTGGCTGGCTGGCTGGCCATATGATTTTATTAGAAGAAAACTTAGGACATGGGCTTAATTCTTCTCACCCATTTCCCCCACAGTGTTTTGTATTTTGCTACATTCCATGATCTAAACGTTTTGAGCCATGAATTTCCTTGGAAACCAAATTAATTCTGACCTCCTTAAGCTTTTTCAGCAAAAAAACATCTTGATTGGTGGACACTTTGCAGTGGATGGGACGCGGTATGTTTTGCATTACATTATTTAAGGCTTTTGAACCATGCATCAAAAGCAGATTATCAAAATGAGTGGCCATGGAAGCTAGGTACAAACCCCAGGGGACCCAATTGATAAGCACATTCCAATTGCAAAAAGGGGAAGGAAACAAATTTAAACATTTTTGGCAGACCCTGCTTTCGAGTTTGGCCAGCTCAATTCAATTTTTTCTTCAACATTTTTTACTGTTTGAACTGGTGCATTGGAACTTCTTGGATCTCATCTCATGGTATTGTTCATCGAAATCAATAATTGATTTGGGTCCCTTGAAGATTAAAACTGTGATTCGATTTTCATCATACTGTATAATTTTGGAGTACAATCCCCTTGGAGCTATGTGGAAATGAAGAACAGTGTAAAAGGGGACCTCATCTCAGAGCTCTTTAAAGAAGCCTTGGAAAGTCCATGTCTGTTCGTTTTCAAAGGAAATGGACACATGAAAGCAAATTCATGAAGCATGCATATGAATAGATAAATTTTAATCACACACCGACATCCTCCCAAACTTTATCGTTCGATTTAAGTCATGCACTTGTTTTGTGAAGGGAACCGAACCTGGAAACTAATCTGCGATGGCAAAAAGGAGCTAAATGGATCAAAAGTTTGTTGCAGTATGGTTGTTGTCTGAAGTCGTTTTGCAGAATTCACACCAGCTACACAGATAGCTCATGAGACCACAGTGTGCTTCATAAAGGACTGGTCCATTGTTGTTATTGAGTGCACAGATGCTGATAGTACAAAATGAAACTCACCATAGCTGGACTGGACCAGATTATAAGCAATGAGTTGATTTCTTTGGCTTTTTTTGGTTGTAATTTGAGGCCAAATAATTGGACAATCACAAGCTAAATGCAGATGAAGTAAAAGGCAGTTTTTGTCCTTAATACATTGGATTCATTTCTTCTTTTACAATTAAAATTAATAATTGCATGTCATTAAATTAATAAATTTATCCTTTCTTGGATGAAAAAAGAGAAAACTACTTTAATTACTAGATTATATTATTATTATGTTAGGGAAACTGATGGAATCTAAATTAGCTCATTCTTTGCTGGGACCAAAAGTAATAAAAGCCCATTATCTCAATTATGAGTCCTGGCCATCCTAATTTTAAGTAACCCCTTTGGTCTGGGTTCGTTGGTTGATTGATACCTCAAGATGAAAACAAAATATTTTAAAAAAAAACATTGCAAAGCGAAGTTAAAAAGGACACAGATGATCTGGCTAGAAAAAGATAATGAGACCGTACAACCCTCTCTAGGGTGTACTATAAAATGTATTTTCCTTCTGTTTTTTTGTCATTTTACAAAAACTAAAAATAAAAAATTCTATGGTTCGGTAAATAAATAAGGGAGTTGATTTTTCCACTACGCGTTTGTCCACTTGCACTTCCTTCGTTGGAAATTGCATGTTATAGTAAAAAAATATTAAAAAGTGAAATAAAGTGTAAGTAGACAAGAGAATGAGAAAATCGACACTCATAAATAAACATGAAGTGGTAGGATTGGGAAGCAACTAAGAACATAGTATGAAGTAGGGGTACTTAAGGGGCTTGCAGAGGAGCAGTCTAGCTGTTAAGATTGGCTTTGGCAATGCATGTGGGGTGTGGGGTAAATGCTGGGTTTTAATGAATCAGATAAAAAGAAAAACATTTTGAAGTCTCTGGTATATGGTTGGTTGAAGAAGAAGAGAAGAGAGTGGTATTAATATTAATGCTTTGGTGGTGGGTGTAGTGAGCAGATGGAGGGGGTTGATAGGTGAAAATTGGAAGGGGAAGATTTATTGACGTAGTGAAGATGGGGTGGTACAGAAGAGAGGCCTAACCAAGCCTAGTATGGAAATCCTAATTGTCCCCAGACGGTTGTGCTGTGCTGTGCTGTGCCGTGTGCCAGCTGTGTTTTGTGACCCTTAAGCCCTCAGAATATAACAGCCGTACCATTTCCAATTTGTCACTCCCATTGCTTTCTGGCCCCTTCTGTTTCTACTGCACACCGTGTATTTTCTGCATAATAATACTGCGCACAGTTGGTTTACTTCCAATTTTATCCAATTCTGATGGCCTTCGTTAACATGGTTGATTATTTAATGTATACAGTGACGCTTTAAAAGCTTAGATGTTAGGGTACGAGTATCAGTTTAACCAATTCGATATTGAAAACCTATAATTTAAGCATTTTACTAATTCGGTTCGAACCTAAATGATGATTTTATCGCTTTTTGAACAATCAATTATGTTAATAAAAGAAATTTAAATTGAAGAAAATTGAGTATAAGTGAGATTTTTCGATCGAGATTTCAAGACGGAAGTGTATTACAAAATAGATGGTCATGGAGATTTAATGACAACGATGGGTTAAAAGGGGAAAGGCAAACCAACCTAGTGTTGTGGGTTTTTTTTTTTTTTTTAAATAAATATTTTTTTTTTATCAAGTGTTGTGAGGTTTTCGCTTAAACAAAGAACCCCCACGTTTTCCCTCTCTCTCCTTTGATGGTCTCTCTCTCTCTCTCTCTCTCTCTCCTCTCCTTCCTCTACTAAAACCCCTCTCCTCACTTGCTCTTCTTTCTCAACTCATTTCATTTCCCATTCTTCTCATTTTCTCATTTTCCCACTCTCACACGAAACAAACACGCACACTCTCCAACTCTCTTTTTATTCTCTGATTCTCTCCTCCTCCAACAACAGACCCAGTCATATGCTACACTGCTCTCACACTGTCTCACACTCACAAAAGCCTGCTCCTTTTTCAAGCTTCATACGCATTCTCTTCTATTTTCAGTAACAGAGAGAAAGCAAAGCTAGAATCTTTTTCCTTTGGGTTGTTTTTTGGCTCCAAAACAACACCAAGGCCCCCTCATCTAAACTCAACAACAATGGCTGACCCGACTAACTCGGAGACCGAGTCAGGCTTCAACTCACCCTCTTCCCCTTCCCCATCCTCATCTGGGTTTTCGCAGTCCTTGCCAAACTCGGCCCAAAACCCATTACCCGGAAGCTCCGACTCGCCCGACCCGGACCAGAAACGGGCCAAGCGAGCTCGAGAAACCAGCAGCAAGCACCCGGTTTACAGAGGGGTCCGAATGCGGACATGGGGCAAATGGGTATCCGAAATCCGCGAGCCCAGGAAGAAGAATCGGATCTGGCTCGGCACCTTCTCGACCCCGGAGATGGCCGCACGTGCCCACGACGTGGCGGCTTTGTGCATCAAAGGCAACTCGGCGATCCTCAACTTCCCCGGACTCGCCGGGTCGCTGCCCCGACCCGAATCGAACTCGCCCCGAGACATCCAAACCGCGGCTGCCAAAGCCGCTTCCATGGAGATCACGCTAAACGCAGCCCCCCCACCGTCACAGTCATCATCACCGGCATTGTCACAGTCGTCGTCGTCATTATCATCATCATCATCGTCATCCTCATTGGTGGGTCCCACAACAAGTAGTACAACAAGCGGGGACGCGGGAACGCCAGAGGAGCTGAGTGAGATAGTTGAGCTGCCGAGTCTGGGGACGAGTTACGAGTCGGCCGAGTCAGGGAACGAGTTCGTGTTTGTGGACTCGGTGGAGGGGTGGCTGTACCCTCCACCGTGGTGGCACAACAGTCATTTTGAGGAGGAGTATGGGTATAATAGTATTATCAATAATATTAGGGATGATCAAATGTTAATGCCTGAGCCACCAGCAGCTGCAGAGTGCTTTGTTGATGCCTTATTGTGGCAACATTAATATCAACTCAACTGTTGCCTCTTCTTGGTTCTCTCTCTCTCTTCTTCATCCTGTGTGCTTTGCTTCTCTCTCTTTTTTTTCTTTTTTTCTTTTTTTCCTAAGGGATATATACTTTTTCTTGATCCTTTTAGTACTACGCCATTGGTGGTTGCAGTGATTAGTATTGGGGTATTATTTTCTCCACTCCATTGCCAAATTGTCAATGGTCCACAGTCTACAATCTTACACACTAGCTCTCTCTTTCTCTCTCTTTCTCTCTCTCTCTCTCAGAGTCACTTTCTGTCCCAAATATTTCTACGTTTTTGAAGAATAATACAATAAATTGTTTTGGAGTTTAGATTATGACTACATCCCCTTTGATTGAAATCAAAGAGAAGGGGCCTTCAGTTGCCTAGTTGTTTTTCACTGTTTCCTAGTTGTTTTCCAAGACATTCTTGTAACTAGTAATTTCTTAAACCATTGAATTTATTGTAAGTGTTAATTCATGGCAAAGTGTTATTACCTTAAGGCATACAAATAATCCATGTCTTCGATTTTTCTACATGCATTATTTCAGTGACAATTGCTCATGATCTTGGCCATGTGTGCATGTAAGATCTAGTTAGGGAACTTGTTGCAGTGACAATTGCGTTTCAGGCACTATGCTATAACTGGTTCCCAAAGATGCCTCTGAATCACTGACATGTATTATTAAAAGAGAGATTGGTAATTTATTATCATAAAATATATACATAGACCAAAACACTAAGGTTTCCAAGGGTTGTTAGGATTTTCTTTGTCCTTTTTTCAACTTCCTTAATTGAGACCGAAGATGGTTGTTTGTTGGTGTTCATCTTAGTTACCCTTGTAAGAACAAAGTTCTAACTAGTAAACTATATTGTCCAAGTAAGTTTGTATGCTCCAGTTCTGTTGACATGGAAAAAAAAGAAGATTAAAAAAATCATTTAATTATGAGATTTTCTGTCTTACGTTATGTACTTCCAATTATTTGATATAAGCGATATTGGAAAAGGGGACATTCGAACAGAAACCTACTTCTAAATTCTAATTAGGTAGGCTGATATATAATATGTTGATTTTAACAAAAGTTGCACATGCAGCAAAAAGAAGAGAAAATCCTAATAAATCGCCTAATAGTTCCCTGCTGTCCAGCCAGATATGTGACATGAGCTCTTTGATTCCATTGCATATATAGTCCTTTACATCAACACCACAAACAATAATAAATAAGCCAAATCTGAACAGGCTTATTCCAGAAGTACTTGACAAATAATCTATTGGGTTTGGAAGCTGTCAATAGCCATGTTCATGAATTTCCCTGTACATAAGCATCCCTAGTAGCTGAGAATCAAAGCTCACGTACTATTTAAAACAGGGCTTTTGCTCTTGCTAACTTTTTGTTCCCACCCTCATGGCATTAAGCTCCAAAACTGACAGGAGAAGAGGATTTCGGTGAACAGAGGGAAACTTTCCATTGAATTATCAGACAGAAAATCCTAAACCCACTTGCAATCTGTTTTTCCACTGCAGCTTCTTGCTAGCTGCGTGGCTCCTCCATCTATACACAATATAATAATATATGATTAAAAATAATTCAAGTCAAACATCTCTGACCCCATTGCGAAATTTGCTTAGCTGGAAGATGTGAGAGCAAAGCAAATTAAGGACCCACTTCTTTGATTACCATCTTTGTCTTCTAACTATGATTTTTTTTTTTTAAATTTAATTTAATTTTTTGTTTTGCAAGTACTTATAATATTATTTTATGTGGCTGGAAAGTGGGAGGGAGTCCTTTTATTTGAATCTGGCTAGCTTGCGATAAGCTCGAGTCCAAGTAATTCAACATCAATGGATCAATTATGGGGAGATTTTGGAAAAACACAAAAGGAAGATAAATTTTGTAAAAGAAGTTAAAATTGACAAAATTGCTTTTATTTATTTTTTAATTTCCTAAAGAATCTTTTACATTTGTATGTCTTTAATTTGAAAATTAAAAGGTTTTTCTGTCTTTTTTGACAAAACTTTGGCTTTTTCCAAAAGTGAAAGTTTTTTCGTGGCTAAAACCTAAATTTACTTTATCGTCTAACATGTCAAAGACAAGTACAATTTTCACTATATTATCCCATAGTGATGATGGGAAAAATTATACCTCCCTCCCTCCCCAAATTATTAACGATGTAATGGAATCGAACTCCTAATCTAACTTAATTTCAATATCGTACGACATGTCTCGTAATTCATCTCAATTATTGTACTGAGAAGTTTAATAAAACTTACTAGCAAGCTAGCTAGGGACATAAAAGAAGTACGTACTCTTTGCATACCATATGATTTATTAGGGATTGCAATGCAAATAGTGGTTGCAGTTTGCTTAACAAAATGAGCATCCATCTGCGTCAGAATTACAAATTGATTGGGTATTGATCTGTCACACGTGCACTTAAATTCGAAAGTTGACCTATGATTATCTAAGGAATTGATTGGGTATCCCAAAACCCAGCTTAAGCATTTGGTGTGCTCGTTCATACCTGCAATTTCCATGTTACCCACATTTTTTTTATTTAAATTAAGATTTTAATCTCCCAAAGAATGTTGCAGAGTTGGAGAGGGTGATAATGCTCACATTAACAATCAGTAAATAGATAGATTAATGTAGCTTCCAATTAGGGACTTCATCACTAACTTCGACGTAATTAATAGTGAATAGAATATACTGTTTCCATTAAACACATACTTAATTTGCTTTATAAGTCAAATCACTCAACTAATCATTCTTGATTATTATTAATTAATTCTATATATGATCATCGTACATAGATTTGTGTGTATCGTGATTCACATTAAACCAGGGTTAGCACTTAGCAATAGCAAAGATGGGTAATTAATAATATCCCGTGGTACATGCTTCCATGAAACCTTCGTATGCGCTCAAAATTTGACCATGCATGTGTCCCTTGATTTTATTATTCAACATGCAGTCACTCACTACATGATAATTAACTTTGTTATAAACGCAAATTAATATTGACCCTCAAACTTTACTTATATCACATTTAAAGTCTTGGTCAACCGATGTATGCATCTTACGAAACATCTTATATTTGAAAATGTCAGTTAGGTCAGACTTTTACACTTAAATTCGAGTTCTCATTTTCGTAAATTAGGTTAGGTTAAAGTAATGTAAACTATCGATTGTGTACTTGTACAAGTAGTGATCAAACTTAATAAGGAGGTAGACGTATCTGTGGCCCATATACATCACGAACCCATGACACCCATCCAGATACTTCCACATATAAATATAAATATTATATAAATTCGAAATTGTTTATATTATTAGGCTTTCATTTATTTACATATGTATAGCTGGTGTGATGAATCCAATGCATGCACCCTTTTGACGGTGGTTGGGATGATTTGATGGTACATATATTCTGGGCACCATATCTTTCGAAAAGGCACCCCTCCCTGATACTGTCATACATAATATTACATATATATCTATTTCAAATATATTTGAATGTTTTCTTTTTCTTTTTCAATCCCATGCCCTTTCGTCAAGTCTTGTTTGTATTGACAATTTGCAACGAACCAATCGGATTTTGGGGCCTATCATATCATGTCGGAGTCGGACAACAATGTTCCAGAGAACTCTCCCACCCAGTTTTAATGGAATGTTGGCATCACTCTCTCTCTTTTCCTAACTAAATTTTGAGTAGTGTGTTCGCCCATCAAGGTCCATAATTCATGTGATTAACTTAAATTGATCAATATTGATCGCAATCATAAAACGGTTTATGGCACGTGATTAACTTAAATTGTATCATTCTTTATTTGAATATTTTTAAAATGGTTTATGGCAAGTGATTAATCAACTGAAATCAATTTTAATCGCAATCATTAAGGTCTAGACCTCTATGATTGCGTCTCCAACCAATCACCATGCAATTGCATATTATTTAATGAGATATCCAAATTATTAGGTAGTTTTTTTTTTTTTTTTTTTTATAGAGAAACTTGACGGAACGAGGGAAATTTTATTCATAAAACGAAGAATTACAACGGGAATGACAACACACCTGACCCGACTCAACAAATCACATAATAAGATGTCCTAAATAAGATCAAAGGACACCGCGAACCAAATAAAACTGTCTACATTATGTAGACTACATCCAACAATTCAGCATGCAACTAAATTATTAAGTAGTTCATAGGTCCTGATCCTTTAGTACAATTAAATTAATTAGCTCTTTTGGTCCCCCATTTTTTGGGGACCTCAAGGTTTATGTCACATTGACTTCACGGCTGCTTGTCAATTTTATCTATGCATGTCTTTTTTCTTTTTCTTTTTTGTCCCAATCAATCCAAGTTTATTCAAAATTCAAAAATGGTAAGGAAATAAACAAAGAACACAAGAGCTTAAAAGACTAAATACCGGAGCAAAGTACCACAAACACAACATTTAGGACAGATTCTTTAAGAAGTACTTCTGCGCATAAGCGCTTTTATTATAACAATCTTGAATTTTCATAAAAATTTTAGGAAGCACTCTCAAGTGCTTTTTTAAGAGAAGCACATAGCAGGTCCTTCTTCCAAAAAACGCTTTTATGACCCATAAAACACTTCTAAATTTTTCTGTCAAACATTATCATAAAACACTTTTAACATTTCCAAAAACACTCCCAAACAAGCCTTTAGACTAAAACCAACACACAACCTAATATAACAATATTCCCCATTACAAAATCAAAACACAAAACCACCCTCATATAAAAGTACCATGTCTTTGAAAAAGCTACTCTTTATTAATTAGCTTATTTTAATTATCTTATGGGAATATTTAAAAAGATCCATTATCTGACATGTGTCATCCCGTAATTAGGTCTGATGGTTTACGTGTTTGATGTGCAACTCTCCACTGAAGCTGCAGACAAAGCTAAGCTATTAATTAGAGCGATGGATGCAGGCTACTTGTCGAGGCCGACGGATAGCAACATGTACCATGATTGTGTTTGTACTCAAAGTCAAGTTATAAGGTGACATTCCTTGATCGTATTATGCTTAGATGGACTCGCATCTAGAATCTAGAGGAAGAAAGCTTTATCGGTTGTCAATCGATTATATTTAACATGACATTGGAACAAAATACCTACGTAGAATGCCCGATACTTTTATATGCTTTCACGTCATTCAATATAATATGCATGTTTATTTAGTTGTATATAAAGATGTAATTATGATGCACTTAAGCCTTGTTTGTGGTAAACTAAATCAGATATTTGCTCTAATGATTAGTGTATTATGTGTCAATATTTTTGTCCAGTAGACTTTTGC